TGGCCGGGTCGGGCCTCTCCTCCCCACCCGGGCCCCCGACTCCGCTCCCCCGGCGCGGGGTGGTGGGGCTGCCGTTGGGGCTCCCTTGGGGGCAAGGAGCTCACCTGGCCGAGCCCCCCCGCCGCTCCCGCCCCCACCTGCTCGCCTCCTTCCCTCCGAATCGGGAAGCGTCGGGATCCGTAGGCGAGGAAATAACGACCCCTGCAGTTGCATTGCGGAAAATCTCGGCGGCCGCCGCGGTGCTAGTTGCGGGCGATGGAAGCGAGGCAGTTGGGGGTTCTTGGGAGCCCTGGAAAATAAAGGACAGAAAGCGCGCGTGCGACGTGGGAAGCCCGCTGGCCCCCGACGCGCCCCGGTCCCCGGCTCGCCACCGTTCCCACTAGGTGCCCCGGACGCGCCTGGCGGGCGCGCGCTGCTCTTGGGGAGCTGGGAGGGTCAGCGGATACTGCAGTTGGCCGGCGTTTGGGGCACTAATCCCTGCCTCTCTTTCTCCGTCTCTCTGTCTGCCGTGTCCGCTCCCACTCCAGCCTCCCCGAAGCTGGAGAAGGGCCCCGAAGTGGAGCAGACACCCTCTGACCATGCCCCGGTGAGGGGGGCAGACTTCGAGGGCAACTTGTCGCGGACTGCCTGGGCTTTGCCAGAGAGCTACGAGCAGCCGGGGGCCCTGAACTGATCGACGCGGCCCGGCGGGGGGCTATCGTCTATGTCTTCTTGGGGCGCCAGGCGGATCGGGGTCTCGTTTCTGCAGGAAGAGCCCAGAGCTGGTGGCTTCAGGTGGCTGCTGCCGCCGCTGCTGGTGCTGTTTCCGCCGCTCGTGCTAGGAGCTGAGACCGGCGAACGGGGAGACCTCCGGAGCAGCGAGGCATCGGACATGTGTCAGCACATCTGGGGCGCACACCAGTCGAGCCCGAGGGGAGATTTGCCGGAACAATTCAAACTGCGATATTGATCTTGGGGGTGACCGTCCCTGGCCGGCTGTCGGGTGGGAGTGCGAGTGTGCGCTCTCTCGGAAGTGTGTGCGTGTGTATGTGTGTGTGCCGTGTCGGGCTCCCCCCTTCCCCCCCTGTTTTCCCGTCGAGTGATGCACTTGGAATGAGAATCAGAGGATGGAAATAGTCTGGGAGGTGCTTTTTCTTCTTCAAGCCAATTTCATCGTCTGCATATCAGGTATGGGACGCGCTGGAGTCGGCGGATTTGGGTTATGTTGTGGTGTTTGGAATGTGTGGGGTTTTATCGTGCATCTAAACTCAAGTGGCCTCGCTGGCGTGGAAAGGGTTGAGGGTGGCAGAGACCTTTCAGCTTTGTGGGTTTACTGTCTTCAGGAAAAGAATATCTAAGCCTAAGGGTGTGTGTGTGTGTGTGTGCATGCGAGAGTGTGTGTGTGTGTGTGTGTGTGGTGAGGGTAGTATCTCTATAGAGTCCTCGAAGGACTCCATACATGTCTATTCCAATATCTATCTTCCAATGGGAGATGAGAAAAAACAAGGCAGGTGGGTGTTGATTTTCAACTGTTTCTCTGGCTGAGAACTCTGGCGCTGAAATCTGAGCCTTAACATCCCCCACCTCCTTCCTCTGGCTTCCAAAGTTCCCAAACTCCTGGGTTCCAGGCTGGCAAAATGGATGCAGAGTCCTGCCCTGTTATCTGGGCACTTTCAAGAGACTGCGGGCGGACGCAGGGCTGGAGAGTACAGGCAGGGACCAGAGGGCTGTGGGGTTCCCCTGCTTTCTCCCCACCACACAGCAGCACTTGGCCCTGATGGTTTCTGGAACATGCCAGCATGTCCCCCACCCCAAATAAAAGCAAAACCCACCTGAAACAACACACTGCTCTAAAGCCACGCTTAGACCTTGGGCTTTCCTAATTCCCAGTGGCAAGGCTATGTTGGCTCAGGCTCCCTGGCTCTGGCTAGTCACGCCAGTTGTGGTTGAAGGAGCTATTGGAAAGCTGGGGCATAGAGGTGAATGAGGTGGGGCTCATGCCTATCTGGGTGTGCCTCTTGTGTGCTAGGAGGATCCTGATGTCCAAGCAGTGTCTTTTGTTGGTGTAGGGAGTTGGGGGTGTGAAGGGGAGCTCAGGTTTACCAGCACCTCCTCCCTTTGACTAGGTCTGCCCCATGCCCCTTCCCACCTGTCATCTGAGCACCCAGGTCAATACCCATTTGCAGTGCTCCCCTCTGCATTCCCTCTGCAGAACTGGGGTTTCAGCCAACTTCCCATGAAGTCACCAGAAGGGAAGGGCAAGAACCTTGCCCCCTGTGAGCAGACACATTTGAGCAGCATTGGGGTAGAGGGACATGTTTTCTAAATCTTCCTGCAAGCCAGCCAGTCCCCACCCTCTTGGAGCCAGACCTGACTGGATATTAAAAACGCTTGTCTGTTCTAGCCTGCACCTAGTTCCAAATACCACTATTCAAATTCAGTGTTTTCTTCATATGCAGGTAAATCTTTTATTTGAAATCATTCTGCTTGGGGCTTTAGCCATCCATCTAACAAATTCACCTCATAATATTTTAGAAGTATATTGTGTACCTGGCAGACAATAAAAAGTGCCATGGGGTCACCCCAACTCCTCTCGTGGGAACGCTCTTACTCCAGTCCTACCTTTAAGGAAAAATTCCCAGGAGACTTGTGATGGTTTATAGTAGCTGAATGCCTAGGGATGACTGGGTGACATCTCTCCAGGCCACATTTTACATCCTGCTCTTTTATGTGTCTATTCCAGTATCTGTCTACCTAGTTTTCCCTCTCTTCTCCCCTCCCTCTCTCATTGCCCCTCTCTTTCTTTCATATTTCTCTAATTATAAGCTAGTCCTTTTTTTATCTCTCCCCATGATCATAAATAATTTTCAAAGGAGCTGAATCGCTTTTTGGTTTACAAAGGGTTAACCTTTGTGGAGTCTTTGGATTTCCCCAGGCAGCCTTTGTACTCAGCTCTCCTCTGAATTGGGTGAGGCTATCTGAGGGGAACCAACTGAGAAGGGATCCCCAAAGGAGACATTGGTGGGATATCTGTCACAGCTGTACTTGATTTGGTGTGTCAGAGACTAAATTATGTAAATAGTATGAGGAGGGGTTATTTCCAGCCTAGGAGGGGTGCTGTGGAGTAGGAGGCTTTTCACATGTATTTACTAAATAATCATCATTGCTATGTAATGAGAGGATAAAATGTATGCAAAATTGCTAGCTATTAGCTAAACATAAAAAACTAGGTTAGCATTCCAAAGGCCTGGTTAGGATTTGCATTAATTTGTACTTTATGAAAACATTTAGGCAGAAGTACAACATTATGTGCTCCATATTCACATATCCATAAATGGAACTATAAAGGGCCATTCTTTCTCTATGGTCAGGGTGGCCTCCTCCCTCATTCAACCTTGTTCATGTATGTTACAATTCAGATTAGTAATATAATTGTGACTCACAGTTGCCACAGCTTGAGGACTTCATTTTCCCCTCTGGCAGCCTTGAGAGGTATAGGAATGCAATGCACTGCAGTTGAATAACTGGTTCGCAGAGAGTTTAGTGGGTCTTTCATTTCTATTTCCAAGATTTGCTGTTTTAATTTGCTCACAACTAGGCTTTACCAAAAGGAACATAACTGTGGGATCATATAAGCTACTAAATATTAAATTTAAAACTTAAAACAAACAAACAAACAAACAAAAAAAGCTGCTCTCTTCTATCTTGGGACCTTACCCAGTAAATGAGTACTAATTCATCCTGAGTCACCAGATATCAGTGATTGCTACTTTGGAAGAGGAGGGTTCATTATCAAGGAATACTAGACTAGAAAAGGCCAGCAAAAGTCTGCAGTGTAAACATTTTTGCAGGAGGAAAATTTTGGTAGCAGATCTGATGTATAGAAGACACGGTGGGTGCCTGAAATTCACTGAGCGCAATTTGCTTTCCCAAGCATCCTGGTTTTTGTAGCTTGGTGTTTTGTTAACCAAAGATTCCCTCCCTCACCCCATCCCACTCCCCAAATTAGAAAGTATAACCAAGGAGTTTTCTCCCTGAGACGGTGTGGCTGTATTGCCTAAATTCCAGACGCCTGGCCGTGGTCTCTCTGCTGGCTCTGCACTGATTATTTAGCTGTGATGCAGCAGTGGACATGGCCCTGGCCATCGGTTGGGCTAGATTAAAGACCTCAGAGGAAGTAGCGTGTGCACCTGCTGTTGAGAGATGGTGTCAATTTTGACTGTTTCAGGGGCAGCACTGCTAGACTGAGGAGAGAATGCAGTGATCTGTGAGTTTTCTGACTCCACATGAGGGTCAGATCCGTTTTACTGAAAATGCCAGGCCAAAGACCTGTGAAGGAGAAAGAGAAAGAGAGACAGGGATTTGTTTCCCTGTTCTAGAAAGAACACCATTCCCTTCTTACAAAAGCAGCTCAGATCAGCCAAAAGGAATGCTTGGAAGCAGAGAATTTCCTGACTCAAAGACCAAAGCATTCTATTTCCCTCTAAGTAACTTTACTCCTTTTCAGTTTATTCATAAAAGTAACTGCAGTAACACTTTGAATTGTGTGGTGTTTCCCATATATTCATACTACTGCACAAGTTTTACCTCTGTTTTTCAAATGTGTGGGATCATCTTATAGAGGCTTTCAGAGTCCAAAGAAGTTCAGCTGGGAGGAGTCAATCCAGCTCTCACTGAGTGAAACCTCTGTATGCAGTTTATGCCTTACTTCAAAATTAAAAAGAAAAAACAGTACCACTTTTCATTTTGATACCTCATTGAAAGAGTAAATTGTGTTAAGTGGATGTAAGTCTTCAAGACCTTAGAAGTTGAAGTTTAGGGTGATTGCAGTCTGCAGCTAAGATGAAGGAAGCCTTTGAGTTGTGCGTGACTCTGGCTAGACAGCAGATGGGACTGTTACATAAGTGTGCCCCCAGTGCCTCTTGATCAACAATCCCTACAAGCAAGGAGTAGTCTATACATCCTTTTCCTCAGCTGAAGGGAAATTAAAGTGTCTTAACTTTAGTTTATTTACATAAAGGGGACAATGGTGCAAACCCTGAGCATTTGTTTTCTGGATTAAATGAGATAATACATTCAGTGATTTCCACTTGAGTGATTAGCATGGGGTCTGAGGTATACAGAACTTGCAATGCATAATTATTTTTCCAAGTCTGGCATTGCATAGGTGTTGTGAGGTCATGATAGAATAGTGCCTTTACCTCCCTCCCCTGCAGCTTGTTTAAAAGCAAAAAGAAAAAGAATCATCCACAAGCACATTTTATCAAAGGAGAAGAGGTGCTCTAGGTGTAGGATTTGAACACAAATCCCACTTTTAAGGAGTCCTTAACTAAACTTTGCTTACAATATTTCTTTCCACATGTAATGAGATTGGTGGCATAGACTTTGTTGCATAGTCCTGAGTGGAACCCACTCTATGATTGTGAGGCCAGTATTGAGTTTGTAAAATTTAATAATGCATCTGGGAGCAATGTGGTGCTGATGACCTGGGGGAGAAACAGAATCTTCTCTTTCAACTTAAATGATGATTTGGTATAGGCCCAACTTTAGACTGCTCCTCAACTGGCAATGTGCTGTCAGTGTAATTTGAAATAGAATATTCCTGTAAATTAAAAAATAACAGTTTTTTTTTTTAATTCTCATCCCCAAGAAAGCCTACTTATCTGATGACCTCAATCCACTTTGTCCTGTGATGTCATCCAGCCCAGTCACTGGCAGATACCATCAACATCTATGAGACTGACCCTCAGTGAGACAAGACTTGTCTTCCTGAGTAATAGAAAATCCCAGGTAGAAAGCTAAATGTCATTGTGGAGACTGTGTTCTTAGGTGGAGAGAGGGCATCTGATTGCCACCCTAGGCAGTTAGTACCAAGTAGCCCAACTTTTCAACTTAATTAAGACTTACAAATTCAAATTTGGGGTTTAGGTCAGGAAGAGGTCATATGTGTTAGGAAGACATGACAAGAAAAATACAGAGGTTAGAAGACCTGCCTGCCATCAAGCTCTTCCTTAGATACCTGTGTGACTTTGAACAATTTGCTCAGCCTCTTAGAGTCTCAGTTTCCTCATCTTTAAAGTGAAAATTATACTTTGCTATTTCAAACCATTCTTGTAAGAGATTTCAAAATAATTCTGAGAAAGTTCTTTGTGTTATGTAAATTTAGTTTTCTTCTATATTATGGAATG